CCCGAAAGAGATCCCTGTCTAGACTTTGAGTCGTCTTCCTGCGTAGGTACCTGCGAAAAGTAATACCGCGCTAGTGATAATGGCCGTGGCGTGGAGATGAGTGGCGAGCGCAATTTTTGCGAGCAGGAACGTATTACACCCCTAGAATAGGGAGCGCAAGAATGACTCCAAAGCATCTTAGGTTGTGTAGCAGATCGATGTAAATAAGCCCATGGCTTGATGCGCTGATGCTCGCAGCCGGTGCTGCGCGTAACTGATGTGAAGGGGCTTCCTCTTTTTGGCTTTCCCAAGGATTTGTACATTCTTTCCTATCGCGGTATCGCCGTCATGATGATACGCGGACGGAATATATTGCATTCCGTATCGGCTTCACCGCCTGCTGAGATAGGAGGTTCAATGACTTGTTATCATCAGGTGATTGATAATCAACACCGCTGATAATCAAACCCCGGCTGCAGATCCTCGCCACTATCAGTGCTTATTTCCAAGACAGCCCGTCTCACCTGCGCCTGACATATATTTTATTTGCGTCGCAGGTTTGGGAATAATTTCTTCGAATATAGCCTTGCGTATCGGCTAGTTGTTCAGCCTTAGAGGGCTGCATTTACCGATTTACGATAATTGCCGAGCCGCAGAAGACTAGTACTCGCGATACTTCGGCCCAGTATTCTGTCCCCTCATCCTCGGATACCACTATTAGAGCCATGAATCGAAGCTCCTCACACCAGGGTCCGTTATATTCTGGCTCCCATACCATAGAAGCGTCCCCTCCTCGTCGCCGAAGGCCTCCGACCATGTTGAGTCTTTAGAAACCCGAGGCGAGGGACGAAAACGACGTCGCCTGAGTAGCTCTAATGTAGCAGCTAGGAATGCTCAATCTGCACTGGATCAACACGAAGATGACATCGAGTCCATTGATTTAACAGAGGCGGAGGGGCCCTCAGCATTAACGAAGTTGCTAGCGAAGCAACGGGAGGATGCTGTTAGAGCCCAGCAATCCGTTGAGCCGGCGAAGGGGCAATCAATACTAAACTCATATAAGTGTCCTGTATGTATGGATACACCAGAGGATGCCACTAGTACAATATGCGGTAAGTACCGCACTTGAAATGGGAGATTTTTTGTGCTGACTGGTGCACATAGGGCACCTCTTCTGCCATAAATGCATCATCGATACATTGAAATTCAGTGAAGAACAAAGAGCAGATACCTCTTCAAAAGGTCCTCGAGGGACCTGCCCTGTGTGCAGAAAACCCCTTGCCCGGAACGACTCCCCAGGCTCCAAAAGGAATCTTGTACCTTTGCAACTCAAGCTTATCACGAAGAAGAGGAGTACAACTGTGCCAAGTAGTGGATAATTTCCGCACTCTAGCTCTGTGCCATGTGTGATGATACTGAAGAACATCGCCCCGGCATTGATGCGCGAATTATTGAACGCACATTTTACACATGGCTATTGAGCGTGGTGTATTATCTCAGCGATCAGGAATTCTCTTGGTTTTCCGAAGGCCTTTTACTTGACTGACGACATTCTTGGTCATATAGAGATTTCTTCTCCACTCATAACCATCCCCGCCGAATGGGACGTTGCCATAAGGTACCTTATTAGAAACGCCCTCGTATACAATGCTCCACTATTAGTGATTGACGAACGATGGCATTGGCATTCAGAGAGCATCATATCTTATAGATACCAACTAAGAAGAAATGTGACACTAGACTAGGACATAGTTGACAGTTCGTCGGCCTTACGCGACTCAATGATCAGACGAAAAATGCCCTATCAATATATCTTATATGAGGCATGAATGAATTATGAGGGCATGAGCGACATTAGTTCATTTTCTGCTTCTCTAACCCCAGAGATTATCGTTTTGTGTTCATGGTTCATTTTATTTTTTATTTTTATTTTTCCCTTGAATAAACTGGAGACCCTGGTGGAAATTCCCCCAACCACAACTGTTCGTATAGCCATGGGCCATAGCGCCGAAATCTAACCTTGTAAATTACCATGATTCGATTTCACAACTGTGGTATCCGAGTTGAGACTTGTAGGAGAACCTCTATCTCAAACGTTAGCTCTCTTTTTTCTCACCGTCAATAGCGTCCAAGTCTTCTCCTTCTCGAAAACAAGCTAATGCGTCGTATATACTCCGTCCTGTCGCCGGGGAATTTCCAGGGTCTAGGCACAAATTTAGGTTATGCCAAGAGTAGATGGCACCCGCAGCAAGACTAAAAAACATTTAAATTTCCTTTTGAAGATATGTACCCCAAGCTTTAACCACACTTCACAAAAAGCTTAGAGATTCTGGAAATTGCTTGAAATTCCTTTATTCTATACTGGGAGCCAGGAGTAAGCGCCCGGGGTCAAGTGTATTCTATACCCTTGAGGTTCATGCCTTGAAAGCGTCGCAGTCCCTAGTAGACGATTTAACCAACTCCCTTTGCAAACGTCATAATATCCACCTCACCATACTTCCCCTCACTCTGCGCGCAATCCAACCCACTGAGAGGACGCCCATACTCGTTTAATGTTGACCTTATATATACGAAATTAAGGTCACTGGCAGGGCAATCTGTTTATTCAATCCACTGTCTGCTCCTTCCGTATCTGAGAGAGACGTGCGACTCTCCTTGCAGCGACTGGCAATTTACGCTTTCGCGTTGATGTTCCCGCCTCTTTTTTTTTTTTCTTCTTCTTCTTCTTTCTTTGCTTTCCCTTTCTCTCTTTTCTTCCAGCTGAAATACACAGACGCCTTTCGTCAAGATGAGTAGGGTCTCGCTTGAGCGTACAGAAACCACGGAGCTGCCATCCATTTCTCATGATATTGAGGCGCATCCGCAAACTTCGCCAACTTCTGCGGAGCCAGCTGGGCTCGAGTCATTCCCCACGGTGACTAAGGGTCCATCAAATGATACAGTTAGGAATCGTGCCCGGAGGTCAAATACGGCGCGCTCATACCACCCTGACAATGTCACTCATGACCCTAATTGGCATCCTGGCACGGAGCCCGGCATAGACCCGACCAAACCGCTCCCGCCCTACAATGCGGATTGGGCGACTGCTGTACCAAGCGACCTATTTACAAGGTGTGAGATCATTGTCGTGGACTTCTCCCAAAATGAGATGCGGCAATATGAGCTTGACAACGACACCTTGGAGCATTTTCTGGCGAGGGAGAGGGAGCCCTGGGTGCAATGCAGATGGATCAACGTGAATGGTCTTAGCTGGGATGTAATTCGAGCTCTGGGAAATCAGAAAGGCATCCACAGGCTTGCCATTGAGGACTTGATCAACACGACAAATCGTACCAAAGTTGACTGGTATTCGGACCATGCATATATTGTGCTCACATTACAGAAACTAGTCCGAATCTATGAAGAAACCAGTAGTGACTCGGATGAAGAATCTGAACAGGGTCAATGGGAAAACGATCGAAGGGGCTCTGCAACAAGCAGCAAGAGTGTGTCTCTGAAGCGAGCGACTACTTTGAGTCTCATTACGGAGGCGTTGAAAGACCTTTTTAGATTGAAATCACCAAAACGAGACCCGAGTAGCGAACCCAACTTAGGTGCAAATATTCGTCATTCTACGAAGAAAGCCGAATCAAACATTATGTTCGACAATGGCTCAAATGCTGGGCGAACTGCTCGCAGTATGCAGCGGTATCGAGGTGGACCAAATGAAGACCGCATCGAATTCATGGAGCGACATGCTGTGCTAGCGGCGAAGGGGCTATCAGTCGCTTTAGAGCAGGTATCAATATTCTTACACGCGGATAACACCGTGACATCCTTCTTCGAGACAAGCGCCGACGACATCGAATCGCCTATTGTCAAACGGTTGACTTCTCCTGAAACTATATTGCGTCAATCGTGTGATGCCAGCATGCTTGTGCAAGCAATCCTGGATGCTATCATTGACCTTGCAATCCCGGTGACCACAGCTTACCAAGACGCCATTGGTGACTTGGAACTTGACGTCTTGACTGATCCTGATATCGATCAGTCTAAAGACCTCTATATCCTAACATCCGAGATTTCAATCCTTCGAAATTCTATGCAACCTATCGTAACTATCATCAACGCGCTTCGAGATCATCGCTCTGAACCTATCAGTACCCCCGGACTAGGTGTACTGAAGAATTACTTTGGGCCCACAAACTCCTCAGACCCGGCGCCATATATAGGAATCGCTACTCCGAATCTCAAAAGTGTAGGTGGTTCCAGTGTCTCTATCAGTACCATGTGTCATACGTACTTGGGCGATGCGCTCGACCACTGCATTACAATAGTCGAAGGATACGACCAGATGAGACGGGCAGCTGACAACATGATCGATCTTATCTTTAACACCATTGGTATGAATTAACTCACATTTTCATCATGCGTCGTATGGCTGACTGTGTTATCCGCAACCAGGTGCATATCAGAACGAAAGCATGAAGCAGTTGACGCTCGTGTCTTGCTTCTTTCTCCCTCTCACTTTCCTGTCGGTTCGTACTCGCCTTGCTTTTAGCACCAAACTGAAATTGTTACTGACTGCAAGCTAGGGATATTTCGGTATGAATTTCGAAAGTTTCGATGGCATTAAGCACAGCGATGCGTACGTGATTAGGTCTCTAATATGAATGGCCGCGACATACTAACCATCGGTCCTTTTAGATACTTTTGGCAGATTGCGTGTCCCTTTGTATTCGCTATTACCGTATTTTTAATGTAACAGCCCAAGCCAGCAGTTCGCTGGAATGATGCTAACTGCAGACTCTAGGCGCGACAAGATCGTACGCTGGACGGCGCGGCTAGCCCAGAAACGTCTCATCACCAGCTCGAGGAAGAGACGAAAGCGAAACGCCATCAAGAGAAGATGAAAACTACTGAGCAGCAATCGGTCCATTGAAGTATCATATAGAAACAGAGCACATAATTAGAGCCGGGATGGACATGTTAGATATACATAAACTTGTATAGTACACTTGGATCAGTATCATACAACTATATTACAAACTCTTCTGCTTAAACGCCATGTAGGCTTTCCAGGGTAGTTTCCAATCCGAGCGAAGAAGCTCAGGCCTAAAGATATCAAAATCGACACTCTGCAGCCTATCCAACCACAGACGCGTACCAACCGCAGGCATGAAGACACCGAATGCACGGTTAACCTCATCCAACGGCGACTCCTGCCGCTGATCATCCAAGGCCTCATACTCATGCCCTCCTCGCCCTCATGCTCAAAGTCATGCCCCACATCCTGTCCAGCACGCAGGTTACTCAACATCTGTTGAACAGTAATCAAATGATCACTTGCCCGTGTGGCAACTGTAAAGACCGCATCCCGCAGTCCAGACGCCTCAGCCCCAAGCCTGAAAACCTCTTCCTCCTTCACTCCCGCCTGCGCCATAACATCCAACGGAAGCATCACAGCGCCCTGCCTCGCCGCGCCGCCAGCCTGCTGACCACCCTGCTGCCCCGCCGCACGCGCTGCAGGAAATGCAACCAACGGTAACCCCCGCAAAACAGCCACAATCCCCGCCGCCTTCCCCACATGCGATGCGACATGATCCGCCGTAACAGAGGCCATGGGCAGCGCCGAGAGCGTAAGATACATGAGCGTGGAATACGTACTCTCGGCGTAGGACTCCAGCGCCGCGATATCGGGGTACGGATCATTCGTTAGGCCGCGCTCGCGGGCGCTAATAAGCCGCGTTAACCAGCCTTTGCTGATCCGGGCGTGGCCGTTGGTTCGCTCGTGGAGGTCTGCGATGGCGGAGGAGAGGAGGATGGCGATGGGTTCTTTGGGCGGACTGCCGGCGAGGATCTTGGCAATCGATTCGCGCCAGAATTGGAGGCGCATGAGGCCGATTGTGTGGGAGCTGGTTGTTTCGGGGATCATCGAGAGGGAGACGTTTAGGGCGCGGAGGGCGAGGTAGAATTGTTGAGCGTGCCGCGGGATGAAGGTGTGGAGAGTGTAGGAGGGGCGGTCATATTTACTGCGTAGGTGTTAGATAGGAGGTTCATTTGGGGGCGTGGAATTGTATTGAGACGTACATGAGGAGGTCGGAGCAGTATTTTTGTGCTGCTTGGATTTCGGCTGCTGCGGCCGTTGTTGGACTCGGGCATGGTTTGGAGTGGCTGAAGTGTCTTCTTTGGGATGCTTGGATATTTCGACCGCCGGAGGAGAGCCGGGCTATTTGGCGGCTTGTGCCGCGTGCGGGTTGGAGCATTTCTTTGAGTGATGATGTGGTGAGAGAGTTGAGGCGTCTCTTCAAGAGCGGCGGTGGTTGTTTTGCGGTCGAACTAAAAAATCCCGGAGAGAGGATGAAATAGCATTGCGGGTACGCCGTACCTGAGAGCCAAGGTGGAGCTGCGTCAAACGATCAGTTAAATGACAATTGACGGAGAAGAGACAGTAGCACATACATATTCCTACCCCAAGATAGAAGTTAGTATTCTGAGGGGATTGACAATTTTGCCCTTTTCGGGAGTAAAAGAAAATGACGTCGGCCCGTGATTTCGCGTATCTCCGGCGCGTCCTCCGCGCCAATCATCCATGCAGATTATTAACAATGCAGCATCAAAGGTTTTGCGCGCCCTGAGACCCCTGACGGGAATCTTTTCTCTCACTCACTAAAGCGGCGGCCGCTACATGATGGATTCGGGGGATACTGATGGCCGTCCCTTGAAAAAGAGACGATTTTTCGTCGACGAAGACGTGGACACCAGGCCTCCAGCCACTGACTCTACGGCTGACTGCCTCGACGCGTCTACACCTCGGTTCACTCACGATGATCAGCCGCCGGTCGTTCGGTCCCATGGCGTACAGCTTGGCGATGCAATATTTTCGGTAGATGGAGAGGAAAATGAATACATACGAGACGATGATCAGCAGACCGCGAGCTATACTTCGCCACGAGAACAAGAAGCAGAAACCGCCGGAGATACTATAGGGAGAGGGTCAGCATTTACGACACAAAATGGTGCAGTACCAGAAAAGCAGGAGGAGAGAGCGACGGCAGAAAACACATCAGCACAAGAGGGTACAGATGGATTTGACACGGAGGTCTTCATTAGTATCATCGGGGAGCAACTCTCGCCAGACGCGATACGCAAGATTCGGAGTGTAGCTGGCGATGACCTGGAGAGGGCAATTAATGTTTACTTTGATGGGTCATGGAAGTCCCCCTCTGGTAGCGCAAAGAACCAAACCATGCTGACATCCCAACAAACGCTGCCCACACGGTCTACGCCTGTTATTCGGACATCTATGTTTGGGAATTTTGGGAATGGGCTAGGAAGGAAGCGGAGTAGTGCTCCGGCTGAAATTGCACCCCAACATACCTCCCAGCCCTTGGTGAGATACGTCGGTGCCTTCGGCGTAGGAGCGTGGGCGACTCGGAGTGGAGTGGGGTTTATCAAACATGGAGATCGTGTTAACATTGAGCGTGCAAGATCTCAGCCAGTCTCGAAGCGTGGTCGTGGTGGGAGAGTTTTCACAAACAATAGGGGCGACGTTTTAACTCGCTTCACCAATCAGTCTGGCCAGGAAATTGGAAGACTTCCTCAGGAGACAGCGGCATGGGTATCGACTTTGCTTGACCAAAAAGTCTGTAAGCTCGAGGGAGTCTGTGTATTCGCACCGGATAGAATCCGCGTGAACGACACAATATACCTGCAACTATGGTGTTACTTACGCATAGAGGCGTTTCAATCTGGCATTCTGGATAGCTCAATCGATGATAATCGATCGACAACCATCTTCGAAGAGAAAGAAAGCACTGAGGAGAAGCGGCTACGACTTCGCCAGGTCGCTCTGGTGAAGCTCTTCGATGAGATCGGTCTGCAACCGACCTCCGCCAACGACATGACCCTGAAACATAAGAAAGAAGGTTTGCTGCGTGCAGTGGAAATAGCAGAACAGTACGATAAAAATAAAAGAGAGAACAAATCGAATAACGACTCATCTGAAGACGAAGAGTCCCCGGAACTAGAGGAAGATCAACTTGATACTTTATACAAGAAGGCCCAGACTTTCGATTTCAGTATGCCAGAGGCCGAGCCTCCACCAACGTTCTCGTTGAAACTCCGAAAATACCAGAAGCAAGCCCTTCACTGGATGTTAGCCAAGGAGAAAGATAATAAGTCCGCTAGAGGTCCATCAATGAACCCGCTGTGGGAAGAATATGCCTGGCCAAACAAAGATGTTGAGGATCACAACCTTCCGACTATTGAGGGACTCGATCACTTCTACGTCAACCCGTATTCCGGAGAGCTTAGTCTCGACTTCCCAGCACAAGAACAGCACTGTCTTGGAGGCATTTTAGCTGATGAAATGGGCTTGGGTAAAACCATCGAGATGCTTAGTCTTGTTCACTGTCATAGAAACCTGCCTCCCGGCCAAGCAGCAGATGGCCCAAGCTCCGTCTCCGGCCTAGCAAGGTTACCCTCCTCGACCTCTGGCGTGGTACCCGCTCCTTACACTACTCTTGTTGTCGCTCCCACCTCTCTTCTTTCGCAGTGGGAGAGTGAAGCCCTGAAAGCCTCTGAACCAGGTTCAATGAAGGTCCTGATGTACTATGGTAACGAGAAGTATGTCAACCTCAGAGAGCTGTGCGCATCAGGTAACCCTACTGCTCCTAATGTAATAGTCACGAGCTACGGAGTTATCCTCTCAGAATATCGACAGATGTTGTCGTCAGCGACATTCTCGACTGCTACGCCAGGTGGCTTGTTTTCGGTAGAATTCTTCCGTGTCATTCTTGATGAAGCACACCTTATCAAGAATAGGCTGTCGAAGACTGCGAGAGCTTGTTACGAGCTTAAAGCGACTCACCGATGGGTCCTCACCGGGACACCTATCGTTAACCGCTTGGAGGATTTGTTCAGCTTAGTACGATTTCTCAAGGTCGAACCGTGGAATAACTTCTCCTTTTGGAAAACCTTCATCACCGTGCCTTTCGAGTCTAAAGACTACGTACGGGCCCTCAATGTGGTACAGACCGTTCTTGAGCCTTTAGTCCTCCGACGTACCAAGACGATGAAAACCCCAGAAGGGGAGCCTCTAGTACCATTGCCACGTCGGACCATTACAATTGAGGAGGTCGAACTCCCAGAGCAAGAAAGAGAGATTTATGATTATATCTATACCCGAGCAAAACGTACATTCAACGATAACATCGAGGCAGGTACCTTGCTGAAATCGTTCACGACGATCTTCGCTCAGATTCTCCGGTTACGCCAAACATGCTGCCATCCAATTCTAACCCGCAACAAAGCCATCGTAGCAGACGAAGAAGATGCAGCGGCGGCAGCCAACGATGGCAACGGGCTCAAGGATGACATGGACCTACAGGAGCTTATAGACCGGTTCACAACAGCCACCGAACCAGCAGACTCTAACCAAGGCCAGGAAACCTCCAACAAATTCACCACCTACGCTCTGAAACAGATTCAAAACGAGTCCAGCGGCGAATGTCCCATCTGCTCGGAGGAACCCATGATCGACCCAGCAGTAACCACCTGCTGGCACAGCGCATGCAAAAAATGCCTAGAGGACTATATACGCCACCAAACAGACAAGGGCAACTCTCCCCGATGTTTCTCATGCCGCGCACCAGTAAGCAACAGAGATATCTTCGAAGTCATCCGCCATCAATCACCAACCACCACACCCCCAGAAAACGACATATACAGCAGCACTCCTCTATCCAACACCCAACCCGCACCTCGAATCTCTCTCCGCCGCATAAACCCCCTCTCCCCTTCCGCCCACACTTCCGCCAAAATCCACTCCCTCATCAACCACCTCAGCCGCGTCCCATCCAACACCAAATCAGTCGTCTTCTCCCAATTCACCAGCTTCCTCGACCTAATCGCCCCGCAACTCGACAAAGCCGGCATCCCCTACGTCCGTCTCGACGGAACAATGGCCCAAAAAGCCCGAGCCGAAGTGCTCGTCCAGTTCAACAAAACCGAAACCTTCGACCAAGAAGAAATCGAAGATGCAGAGGGAGAAGACGACTCTAATAGCCCCTTCCCCAGAAAATTACTACCGACTAGAAAGGGCCACACATCGGCGAGGCCCAGTCCCAGGGTTCTTCTCATCAGTCTTCGGGCCGGTGGCGTGGGTCTCAATCTCACGGCGGCTAGTAATGTGTTCATGATGGATCCGTGGTGGAGCTTTGCCATCGAGGCCCAGGCTATTGATCGCGTTCATCGCATGGGCCAGTTGAGGGATGTAGCTGTCACACGGTTTGTTGTTAAGGATTCGATCGAGGCGAGGATGTTGCAGATACAGGAGCGGAAGATGAATATTGCTGGGTCGTTGGGGTTGAGAGTTGGGGGAGATGGGAACGAGGATAAGAAGGAGAGGATTGAGGACATTAAGATGCTGTTTGAATAGGCTCATCTGTCTGGCGGATATACAGTGTTACCCCGGTTTAGCATAATAATGCCCTCACCCTAAATATAATGCAACTGGTTAGGATTCAATAGAACTTGGCTTGGAAACCAGAAGGTATCTTCCATTATTGTACAGACTATACACTAAAGCAATCCGCGAGAATAACAATACACAAATAGGTCATCAAGTTTCAATCATCACACGTCACACAGTCTGTAGGCCAATTATAGATTTTAGGACTTATTGGGATGAATAACCCTCTCTACCTTCTCCTTAATGTGAGCCATAGTACCTCCCGAATGAGAACTATCCTTAGAATGCTTCTTGTCCGAAGATTCATGCTTGCTGCTACCGCCAGGCTCACCAGCTGCCGCAGCTATACAAACAGTTAGTCTCGTCCATTCTCCCGAATCCTTGAGAGAGTTAGAAAATTAACTTACCAGGCTTTCCGTCATCCTCAGCCCTAGCAACCTTCTCATCTCGCTTCCAGTGCTCTCTGGGCTCAGCGACAGAGGGCCCGCGAAGAGCCTCCTTGCTCACATGGTCAGTCTTAGGGGGGAAACCCACATGCTCGACATCATCGTCCTTCTTGGTAGGCTTGGACGTAGACTCCTGAGTGCTGCTTTGGCCCTCTGCTGTCGTGCTTGGGGTTCGTTGCTCGGTAGTAGAATTGGATTTCTGGGGCGCAGATTCGGCGATGCCAGAGCTGGGATGTCTGGCTGCGGTACTGGTTGGTTCCTCTGTAATGCCGGAGCTAGGCTGTCTGGCCTCGATACCAGTACCGATGGACTGAGAAGACCGATCGGGGATTTGAGCCTGGCTTCCGTAACTGGTTGTAGAGTCCAGATTCCGGGACCCTTCTAGCCCGGAGGTAGAGGTGTGGGTGCCAATGGTCTGGGAAGACCGGTCGGGGATCTGAGTCTCACTTCCTCCGTAACTGGTTGTAGGGCCCAGGTTCTGGGATCCTTCTAGACCTGAGGAGGCGTGTGTGTCTTTTTCGAAAACAGGCTTGTGGGTAGTAGAAGCTGGCTGTCTGAGACCAGTTGCCTGGGCGTCTTGATCCAGGGCCGGCTTCATAGGGGAAGTCTGACCGGTGCTGGAGGTGGTGTGTCCAAGACCAGATGTCTCGACACCCCTGTCTAGACCGGACTTCTGGGTAGAGGGGTGTCTCAGCCCGGTTGGGTGAGTAGTGTCTGCTCCGAGAGCTGAGGTCTGAGCGGAAGTTGCGCCTCCAAGAGTACCCGTATGTCTGAGACCGGATGGATGAGATTCAGATGGGAGAGCAGATGCCTGGGCGGCTGTTGCGTCCCCGAGACCACCTCCGGAACTCTTGTGTCCAGATCCGGCACCAGCGGTACCAATAGTGGCAGCACCAGCACCAGCCAAGGAACCCTGGTTAAGTCCAGAGTTCGTATCACTGTGGCCGTGGGTGAGACCTGAGGGCTGGTTGTGACGGTCAAGGTTGGACCCCAGGCTCCTCTGTTCTGGGACTCGGTGTGGCTGGGAACCGTACTTTGCGGCGGTTTCGCCGATAGGGTTCAACTCGGGTTGCATAGCGGCTGGGCCACTTGCTGCCTTGCTGTTGCTGGACTTGAGACTCGAGGAGCGGTCGGCGGGAGTAATCGATGAAAGAGCCTCAGGGACGAGAGCTGTGTTCTCTTTGGATTGGGGAGCGCCGGGTTGCTCTGATTATATGTTAGTTATGTGAACTATACAGGGCGACACGTGGTTTGTTGTGACAAGATGGCCGAAGAACAACAGTAATACTCACCAGGACGGTTTCCAGCGTCGTAAGGATCAGTAGCGGTTCCTCTGCCTTGGACTCCAGAGATTGGCTCCTCGCCGTGCTGGGTCCATTGCTGTTCAGAGGACCGGTAGTCGTTCCTGAGAGAGTCAGCGGCTGTGTGCCAGGCTTTGTCGAAGGGCTCCATGGTTGTAATGTGGAAACAGAATTGAGTTTGAAGAAGTACGGAGAGGTAGGGCTAAGAATCCGAAGATATTGCTTGTATATTGCTTGGTGAGGTAGTATTAAGAGAAAGTTGATGATCTTGATCACTTGGCTCTCTGGTAGCGTCTTTTACGGGGTATATATCAGCGCCAGTTCCATCCACGGTACGTCAGTGGCATTGAAACAAAAAGAAACTCATATCCGGCTCGACAACGATCAGCGCAAGAAGTTTCCAATGGTGAAGGAGATCATCTGCTCGATGTCATCATCTAGGGCTGATGACGTCACCCGCCACGGCAGGCAGTCCTGAATTTCAAGGCCTCAAATCCACCCACGGAGCCAATGGTGGGTGGTTTTTCAGACAAAAAATAGAAACAAAAGTAAACTAACACGCATGCACATGTTCCCTTTGAAGTCATTGGACAAATTCGTCAGAAATGATATAACTATGAACTATTAGAACCCTCAATGATGACACCGCCCGAGTCAGCAACTCCATGAATGTACAATTGGCGTATTGCGTGAAATCCCAGCCATTGTCCATGTAAACGATTGCACAATTAACCCAAATTAAAGGAAAGAAAAGGAAACAAGAAAAAGAGTAAGACAAGCACTGTCCCCTTTGCGGTGGTAATGCTGTACATCAATCAAACAGATCATATCAATCGCTCGCCCACCCGTGTCATGCAAACTCTTACTTAGTGTTTGCTCCCTTCCTTCTTGGCTTCCGGGTTCAGAGGGCTGTCAGGATCGTATCCAACGCTTTTCACAATACCTAATCCCTTTGTCTTTCCTTCACGGAAAAGTACCCGGTCTCCAGGCGCCAGAAACTCTGGGCGCTGCACGAAACGGAAAGCCACCAGGGCACGATCACCCGTTCTGATAAAGGGACGGTCAATGTCAATGACAGAACATGTTTGACTCACGGCCCCAACATGCAACATCGCTTGGTACCGAGGCTTGATGGTAGTAGCATGGGAGAGAATGAGTACTAGATCCAGTCAGAGTAAACACTACACAGGTGACACAGCATGTGGTCCTACCTTCCGCAACGAACTCCCGGTAAACTTTGGGAGGCTGGTCCAACTTCTTGAGAACAACCATACCCTTTCGAACCTCTTTCCTTCGTACTCGCTTTAGCGCGAACGAGCCAGACTGCCCCGCAAAGCAGGCGTTGACAGATATCCGTTTCCGTTCGATGGACTTGATCGTAGTTGTGGTGAATTGTCCAAGTGAATCAGGGCCAACAAGTACCGTATCACCCGCGTGAATTACCCCTGACTTGGCCACCCCCGATACCACCGTGCCTACATGTGGCACGGAGAATGTGTCGTTGATAAGGAACTCAAACGGCGCGTCGGCATTGTAGTGGCCACGATGGGGAAGAATGTTCAAGAAAGTCCGTACCAGGTCCAGATTTTCTCCTGTCACGTTGGACACCTGAAAGATAGGACAAATCCGCTGACTGACGAACTGCGTTGCTGTGTTGATGGTCTGATCCATGTCTTTCACGAAAATGGGTATTTTGCGAGCCCCGGGAGACTTGAGGATTTTATTTAATTGAGACAAGGTCTCCTGGAGAATCTGTGGGGGGCAGATATCAATCTTGGTAACAATGATCATCACAGGAACATTCAGAGCCAATGCAATTCCCAAATGCTCTTTGCTCATACCGATCAAACCGTTATTAGCCGCAACCATCAATAAGCAGTAGTTGGGGCTGCTGCTTAGCATGCCAAAGACCGTAGTCCGCAAGTATCGCTCGTGACCGGCCAAATCCGAGAAGGAGATGACCTTAGCAGACCGCTTCCCTATCTCTTCCCAAGACAGTTTGCGGCCCTGAGCGCTGCTCACGATCTCTCCGCGACTGTCGAATCCCATAATCTCCATGCCGACAGAGCTGGTCCGGCCGCTCTCGATTTCATGTTTATGTCGGAAAAGATTGACTCGAGCTTTGCCGCGGCCATCGTCGAGATTTCCCTTTACGAGAACTCCGAGCATGGTACTCTTGCCAGCATCCACGTTGCCCACAACCGCTATCCGGAGCTCAGCCATTTCCTCCACGGTTTCTGCTGGCTGCCGGATGAGGAGCTTGCCGCACGAACCCTTCATTCGATCATTTCTGACCTTGGATTCCTCAGGGCCTCCCACATTGTAGGTAACAAGAATACGGCAGTGTGCCGGCAGCGTTCCTGCCGCTTCCCGTACACGCTGCAACGCCGTTTCCCATTGGGACACATCAAAGCCCATGGACTCACCACCATCCTCAATACCCACGTCGAATATCGCTTCACCATGACCTTCATCGATGCGTGTTTGTATAACGCTTCCCAATAGTTGCAGACTGTCCTCTTGTTGATCACCTGTATTCAACAACAAGTCTTTTAATCTGGTTGGCTTCGGAGTGTCAGACAATCCTAGCTGGTCAAGGATCTCCAGTTCTGCATGATCTTCGTGGATTCGGGATACACTGGCAGTAGAGTAGCCGCTGTCGCTCGGAGCAACGGAGCGATGCGCTTGCTGTTTTTCAGCGTATTCCGCGAAATCGCTGAGCGCCTATGCGTTGACAGTCAGCAGGTGGGGCAGAGGCAAGGGAGGAGAGGTATACGATCTCGCCTCTGCGCCGCTCCTCTGGAGTAAGTTTCGGTCCAGCCGGGGCCATGCTTGAATTTTTGATTGTAGACAATGAGGGTGCTGTAGAACTGGGACTATTTAATACACGGTACTATACGAGCTGTATGGTCGGATAGGTGACAATTCGCCTCTGGCGCATTCAGATACGTATTCGTGTTATCATAATTTCACAACAATGGCTAAAGAGATTCAGCGGATGGGACGGTAAAGGACCGCGTTAGCCGATACAGAGCGTAACTGAATAACTCAGGGGAAGAATTAGGAATGTTTGGGGGGGGGGTTAAATAGCTGAAAAGATTGACGTGGTGTGAGGCTGAACTGAGACGTGTGGAGCGGATTTGGGGGAAGCTTTATCGATAAATTAAATGGGCGAAGTCACCGCCTGAGTCATATGCCCCGACAGAAGCACGACGAATGCCATGGACCACAACATGTAAATAGTAAATTACTTATGACATAAAAAAATAAATTGAGTCGCCTACAGAAGATATGACTCAGGTCGCATGCCATGACGGAGTCATCATCTGATGTTTAGGCTCTAATCTCTTTGCACATGACATCTGATTAACAAGTGCCATGTCTTCGTCGATGACACACGTAAGACCCAGGAACCGGAATAAAAACTATAGTCCACCACTCTGGGGCCATCGCTCGGTTTCATAGTTCCCTTCCTTATGATCCAGTATGTAGGAGAGTCAATAGTCTCCTTAGAGCTCGGGGTTTCCTTTCGACGAGTCCATCATCCATTTCGTCCATCCGATCCTATCAGGCTTGCGGGGATATTAAAACGACGGAGTCTCCTGAACAACGGTATTAGTTGGGTTGTCTCAATTTAGGCTCCGATGTGATGGGTAGTTGTTCCGACGCACCTCGCACAAAGAGCATTTCCTCCTGTCTCTTGATTGTCTGTAGCAAGCGATATATTAGCCATTGTCGTCCCCAAGGAAATCCATCTTCGAAAGAAAATTATCGCTTCGCCGAAGGCGCAGATGGAATCGGACAAGACGGGATCAGAAGGAAGCCAAGCGACGTACTCGAATTATTTCTTCCTCGTTCTCATCCTCCTCTACCACGTAGATGGTCTCCTCCACATCTCCCATCACCAAGTTGCAATGGCTGTCGTATGCCTACCACAGGACACTAATCAGCCTCCGATCAAACAGAAATTCGAACTAGCAGTAGCACAGCAGGAAACCTACATGGAGACGGCCCTTGAGCTCGCGATCACCGCGGAGCTTGACGAAGACGATTTCATCCAGGGAAAGGCGCACCAGATCCAAAGGTTCGGAGACGGAGATGGTGCCCGCATCTTCCGTGTCGGCCATTTTCTGATTGAGCGAATGAAAGAGGAGAGGGGGAAGCAAAAGAGGGGAACGATTGAAAGGGGGTTTAGGAAGTCAGTTAGTCGTAGCAGTAACCGAGGGTAGCAACTCTAAGCTGTCGCGTTCAGGCCGTGTCAATCAAATCAATTGACTGCAGCAAATGAGGAGAAGCTGCAGGGATTCGTTGCCAAGGCGGCACCAACACGAAACAGATGACTTCAAAGAGGTCGGGCAAGCTGTGCAGTTTGTCCTACGCAACTTCGTTTCCTTAGACCTCAGGGAGGACCTCTTTTGTGGTGCAATTTTTGATATCCTCAACGGTCTCGATGCGGGGACTCGTACTTGCAAGTGAGAGATTTAGCTCTCACTTGGTGGTTCCCTCGTGCGGTCGCAATCGGTCCACTCAATTCGCTCTTTGCGCTGGGCCCACTCGACTGATAGTACCCGCCCGCGATCCCACTCAGTGGAGGTCCTTCAACAACATTCCCAAGGATGCCTCTTGGAATGTGAATAATAGCTCCCAGAATGGTCGGAGATCCTCTCAAATCCGTGTCGCAAGCTCCCATTTGAGTACGACAAGTATCCTCGAAGGTGGTGGCAGTCATGATGACCACGTACCCCACACCGCTGACGCGGTACCAAGTACCCACGAGGATCTGAGTGCACGGAAGGCCGCATTTTATGAGATTATCCAAGATGGCCAGCCTGATCAGGTCATGGACGCGCTGCTCGATCCTCGAAACGAAGAGTTGGTTGGCTCGATGCCTCAGACCGTATTCGTTGAAGTCTTCCATCTACTCTCCCCGGCCTACTTTGTGGTTCCCTATCGCGAGATCCACCGGCCTATCCATCCAAGTGCCGCGAAAATCAAGAGATTCGAGTCGCTAGACTCCATTTTCAACGATTTTGCTACCAAATTAGCTACGGTTGTTTCGATTCGACGGTCGGCCGGTCAGTTTCTTGGTCTAGCGGAATACACTCACCTGCTGGATTGCGCACGGTCCATTGGAGATGCTCTCATGGCCGACTACATTTGGCATAGCATGACAGAAGACGAAGTTGTGCCAGATGTGACATGCTACAATTATTACATGGAAGCCAAGGTCTGGGACAAAGCCTATACTGGGCGAGAGAGATATCACACGCGGATGACGCCTTATGCTTATCGGAAAAGAAGGTTTTTTCACCAAAATGTCGGCTGGGAGGGCTACCGTACCGCTGAAAAGAGCGTCCGAAAAGAAGTGCTTCAGATATTCAACGAAATGACTGAACAAGGGTATCATGGCGATGAGACTAGTTTCATCAATGTGATGTTGGCATCCAGCCGTGTAGGTCATGTGCAGGGGATGAAGAACGTGCTCAAAGTAGCGTGGAATATCGATATTGATGCGCTCGCGACACTGGATCAGTCTGAATTGCCTCCAGCCACTAGTTACGACCGATCATCTCCTTTGTACCCTTCAAGTCGCCTCCTGTTTGCAATCGCTCATGCATTCGGCACAAACAATGATATTTCCGGTGCATTGCGAGCCATTGAATTCGTTTCAAACTCATATGATATCCCTGTCCCAGAACCAGTCTGGCTTGAATTGCTCGAGCGCGCCTTTGTCCTATCACGGAACCGGTTTGGTCCAGACGCAAAGCGGAATGCATTAGGCAAAGTGCCTCCCGAGTTTGTGAAGGGTGTGTTCGAAACAATGACGTCGAGCAATTTCAATGTTCGTCCTACAGTCGATGTGCATCGTATCCTTGCCAAGACCGCATGGGATCAAGCCAGACTGTCGGAATTCCAACATCACATGTGTGCTGCTTATGACCTGCTGCGAGAAACCAGGCAGAAGCGGAGGACAGCGAGAGATATCATCGAAGCTTATCTAGGAGGGGCGTCGTCAAGCGGTTCTTCCCGACGGAGATCGCGGATTGACACTACGCTTCTACAATCACGAGGCTTCGCCGAGGCGGTACACACCTATGATGTCCTCCGATTACGCACCGCCCAGCATACCATCACCATGGAACGCTTCGCGAGACTCCTCGTTACGCACAAACGGTGGACGGGCCGCGACAATCCGGTATGGGAACGCTGCCTCCTCCCTAAAGTGCTTGAAGAGTGGAAGGATTTTCTACCACAGTCCGTCCAGTACCACATCAGGGGCGGCCTAGTCGATCTCCTAGGCGTGACACACTGGGGCCAACATAGATTGACACTTCACAATAGGGTCCCAGTCCGTCGACCTACTGCGGAGAACGGCATTGAGCTGGACGAGGAGGCCATGGAAATGGAGGACGATTTCGTCTGGGCAAAGTATTTACGCTCCAACCCCGATCTCGACTTAGACATGGCGCCACTGAAACGACTCTTCTCCGGAGTCGCGGAGAGAACCCGCAGACCTAGACCATCTGCCATAGATAGAGAATATGTCACCGAGCCCCAAAATCTGGGCTACGAGGCCGACGGACTGTCCGATCTACCGGCGGAAGACTATGCCGGAACGCAATGGACTGCACAGAGACAGAAGGAAAGAGAAACGCCTGGTGTTATACCTGGGAACTTTGATGTGGTATTCACTTAGCTTTGCTTTATCTTGTCATGTTTGTTCTCTTTCTCTTATCCTCGCCGTTTTATTCACGCCTTGAACAATCCGCAAAGCCGGGTTGATGAGCTGCTTATTCGATCAGTTATGAAGCTTTTGATATTTAAGTGTGTTGTTCCGCATCGGCCATATACCCTGTCCATAGTATCTGTTGCCAATGAAAATATTTACTTTGCCTGCCAATATGCTTTACATTGATATTGCTGTCGTAGGTCAACCGCATACAGTAAGCAAAATTATCGAGCAACAGATGCTCTCTCCACGTACAGCAGTCAAGGATAGCACCATTAAGAAAGAAAAAAAAAACCCCCGATATTTACCAATATACTAAGCCTTGGCGTTTATATGTCAAGTAACCTTATGGTCAAATTTCAGCCTCCCTAGGATTGTCCTTGGCTATATACAGCAAGTCACGCAGGTCTGACTGCGCCTCGCTCTAATAAGATGGTTGGTTTTATTGCTCAGTTAATGTACAGAGGGCCTTTCCGGGAGCCACTGTGTTTAAATGGAGACGTAAAGAATACATACTTGGCTTACCAGATATGTGAATCTGCAGTAGCCATGCATCAGGGCTTGGCTTCACCCGAATGGTGCAATGTCCAAATCCCTTCATAATGCCATAAGCTTTCAGCTCGTCGCCATTCCCTGGGTCACTTAAACCTTCTCACGCTTGAGGTCATTCACCGCCATATAACGACCGAAAGTAATCCACCCATATCGAAACCAAACCATCTGGCTCTGATGAGCCTTAACCATAGCCGACTGCGCCGTCATCCATTCACCAACAGAGCTAACAAACAGAAGCCTCGCAGGCGTATCCTCCTTCGAGGTACGAGACGAGCCCCTCAAACTCGAGGACAGAGCATCGACAGCCCCACGCGCCATGCTCAACGGCGCATCAAGCACACCGATATATTTGCGCAAGATGTTCGTCGTGGTGAGCGTGTACAGCGAGATCGGGCAGGTATACCCGGGTTTATCCTTCATCAAGGTGCGAAGGAAGTGGACAGCGCCATGGTAGAGAGAACGGTGGTTGGGATGGTTGCTTATACCCCGTCTGTCGAAGGTGAGGAGCACGTCGATGGTTGCGACGGGTGGTTTATCCCTCGTTGCTCCTCGTTTCCGGGAACCGGACTGAGCTTCGCCCATTTCGGGAGCGAAGGCTGAGGTAAGTAAAGATGAGACATCGCTTTCTGTCCAGGTGGCGCTCATGCTGTCGGGGAAGCGGGTTGGGTCGTCTACGATGAGGACATCGGACTCGTTGCGGAGGCCCAGATGCACGGCGCTTTTTTGGAGCTCCTTTTTGCGGATGTGGCCTAGTCCATCCGCGTCTCCTGGTAGGTTGTTAGCTTGCTTGGAGCTGGGTGTGATGTGGTTCTATATAACGTACCACTACTGAGACATAGGATCTTGAGATGGTTTCCCAGTTCTGGTTTGGTTAAGGCTAGCACAGTCGGTGCGAAGAACATGGCCTCATCGTCGGGGTGGGCTATTAAAAGACATATTCGCTTGTTGTACAGGCGAGGGAAATTACGAGCAAATGGTGAGGAAGACGTTGCGGATAATGTCCAGAAGATGAAGACGGCTGTGACCGCGAAGCCCAATGTTATGAAGGATGATGAAGACATAGCACGAAATTTGAGTACTCAATTGGATGGCCACGCCTTAAGCTAGAAAAGTGAAATATGGGACCCACAGGACTAAACAACAAGGTTATTTTAAGAATTATGGATTAAAGGAGCAAACACGAAATTGACTATTGAATGTAGTGGAGGTACATCCGGTATTCTCACACACCTTAGTATATTCCAGTCCAGTTTGTATCTGTTCAAGGTGGTATATCTCGAGCCAGTCAATGTCAGCTCAATTGTAGTCTAGCATCTTAAAAAATAGAGAGAGCTATATCGCGTAAATTCAACATAAGGCAGTGTGGCATAGCATAAAGGGGAAGATTTGAAGCCAATTGGGGTGACGGTGTCGTTATCGCCACGTGACCTGGGATCATATTAACTATGAGGATTGATTTGACTGGAATAATTCTGTGTGCTAAGCTATAACTTAGTACTACTAGTAGTTACTAGTACACAGACTTGTAGATGTTGAAATAATAGAGAAGTTTATTCCTAATCAGTTTTTAGCCTTATTTCATCATTCTAAGATTCTCAAAATCATCATTATTATCTATACAGACTACTATTGTTGAAATACACACACATATATATACAAACAACATAGTTCTGTGCAAAGCTCTCTGCTCCTTTCCCATTGCTGGAAGGGCATCTATTATATCATATTCTGGCCTACTCCGCCACAATTTAAGGTGGGATTGATAAACAATAAGTATATGACCTTATCTGGCCTGTGCTAACATCAGGAGCAATCGCAATTGTCCACCCCCATTCCAAACAGAACGCTGATTTCTCACACAGTGGCCTGCTTGTCTAGCTCAACCTTGTCAGTTTGCTCTGTACAATGCATATCATCATCTTCCTGCGTCGGGCGACTATTGACCCATAATAGTTATACCTGAGCCCGCCATGACACGATCTCACCTACTTGCCTTGCACTATATATTTTACTACTTAGAATAAACTC